GCGCTGGCCGGGGAGACAGAAACGTCTGTGGGCAGCCAGGGTGACTCAGTGCTTGGAGCACAAGGCTGCTGAGTAAGGTACGGTCATTTTTACCCCAGAAGCGGCGTTTTGAGGAACGTTCCTAGCTTAAAAACCAGATCGATTTTCCTAGCAGCTCTGCCCTTTGCCAGGTGTGCCCCGCCGAGCTCATCCCACCAAAATAATGACCTCGGCAAGGCTTAAAAGGAAAGTTACTTTCAAGATGATGTAAATGCTCGATTAAAGAAGGATTTGTTTTATCTCCCAGCTCTTCCCAGCCACAAGACGCTGAGGCTTTCCAGCAGAAGTCCAAGATCCAGTTGCAGCAGCGGAGACCACTTCGGCAACTCTCTCCTCGGGCTGAGTGAAGAGCTTTTAGAAATTCATCCACATTTAGCCCCGAGAAAAAGATGTTTGGCTACCGTCTTGCTCAAATACAACTCTTCCACGTGTCTTCTTCATTCCTGGAAAACGGAGACTGTGCTCATCTGCTAAAGACTTTAATTAGGAGAGGAAATTCTGCCTCTCCGCAAAGCGGGGCGGGCTTTGGCAAGGGGACCCGTGCAGAGCTCCTCAGTGCCGGCTCTCACACCCGGTACCTGAAGCCCTCCCCGGGCCAGGGCGAGGATTCGCCTCCCGACGCATCCACCCCACCTCCCCGAGCGACGCTGCACTTTGGGCAGGTGATGGCCCCGTGGCTGCTCCACGGGGCACAGACCCAACAAAGGTGGTTAGAGGACCGAGGGGGTTATCTGACCCTGGATTAGAGCTGTAATAATTTTAGCCAAAGCCAAGCATACGGGGGCTGCAAAGAGCTGCGAACACGTGAAAACACAGAAGTGACCCGTGGTTCTCCAGATCCCACCACTGCCCCGGCGAGATGGGATGCTGGAGAACACCAACCCAACCAGCCACGGGGACAGTGAGGACCTGCAGCATCCCTGGCTCTGCCATGGATGAGTTATTCAGGTCCAGGCACACCCTGGATGGCTCCTCCCAACCCACCTTCCTTGTCTACTCGCACCCATGTCCCTAGAGAGAAAACAGACGTCACCTCTCGCGTTGTAGCACCCTCCACACCCCAGGTCCTGGCGCTTGATGGCACCAGCAGCAACCACCGCCGCCGTACGGCGATGGGCAGTCGTGCTCGTCCCACGGGTTTCCAGGCAGGTGACGCAGCAAGGACGCGTCCCTGCACCGAGGCAGCTATTGCCAGGACATCCCGATGTTCTCCTGGGAGAGGCCGGGAAGCCGCCAGC